TTGATTGTTGTATGTCAGATTGAGTACATCAGTGATGTCACGACTAGTTTACGAGGTAGTGGGACGTTTCGAATCGAAGCGATTGGTTGATTTACCGTTGTCGTTAGAAGACGTCTTACAGCTGGCTTCGAACAGAGCAAAGGCATTCAAAAACGACTTTAAGAAATCTCATCGTTGACGTTGATGGAGTACTTGAATGCTGTTTAATGAAACGCAATTATTTCAAGGAGCTGTGGTTTTGTGATTGATCTGTTGATGTATCTCGTTGGTTATCGTGTCTGTTCCACAATTCGAGAGCTCGTTCTCATTCAAATTTCTCATTTTTCATTTTGTGGTATTCATCGATTGCCGGTTGTTAACGTGTTGTATCATTTTGCTTTGTTGATTCACTGACTGTTTTGATGGAATTTCGCACTGTTGAAACATAGTAAATTTCATTGCTTTTTCAAGTTTTTAGAACACTTTTGAGATGCTCACTTAATTATTCATTCCATTCATTCGTTCATTAGAATTTTGATGCGGACATTCATCAAAATTCAAACTGATTCAGCGGTATACACTTTTATGAAATCTTGTTTCATAAGCAGTTTTAGTGAAATTTTAGTACATAATATAAACTGGAAATTAGAATTCGTCCATCATAAATATTTATTTCGTTGTGATTGCCGTTTCGTTTATAATATGTTATTTCATTCTTTGTGAATGTTTTCATTGAAATGCATTGTTATGCTTATTTTTCGTTTTACTTTTACCAACTGCCCGTATTAATTTGAATATATTTCAGTGTTGTCCACTTGTTTGTTTATTTACGTGTTTGTTTGTTTATTCACAAATAAAGTTATTTCATTAAGACAACAATATTGTCATCGATTCAGTTATGTTCTGACATACCTTTTCGGATTTTACCGATCGATTCAACGCTTGATTGAGCTTAATTTGAGTTTATTTCGATCACTTATTTGGGCTTTGAAATACTGAGAACGAGTGAAGTTTTTGCATCAGGAGACGCTTATTCCTGATTGCATTTCATCGAATTATTATTATTATTATCATGGCTGTACTCGTCTTACTACTCTTTCGAGTTGGTGTTTTTTAGGGTTGTCGTTTTGAATGAGGATCACATCGCTGGTCGACCCACGCAGTGATAGTTGTGCAATAAGATGTGGTGGAACAGCTGAACCACATATTACACTTATCCTCTGTTCGAGAATTCCATCCTTGTCAATGTCCAGTCTCATTATTTTCACTACACATTCAACTGCCCTATCAAAAAAATTTCAATTGTGGCAAAGTTAAGTTGAGGTAATTGTCATCGACAATGCTCAGATTGCATAATGACACGCGCTGACTTATGATGACGGTCTGGTTCACTTGTATCCACGGTAAATAGGATGCAACTGGAATGCTCTGATAGTGGCAAAGCGTTACAATCGTACAACTCTGGTTGCTGTAGCCTNACCTTTCGATAGGAATTGTGTATTGCGCTTAAAGAAAAGCAAACGAAACAGATACGTTCTGTTCAGCACTTTTTGCGTTTAACATATAAATTGGCCATCGATCATTTTCGATCGTTAGTTTGGATCGTTGTTAAATTCATCGATCGAATATGCTAATCGGCATCGTTTCCGTTGACGTTGCAATGTTTTTGGTGGACAGAACGAAAAATATGTAAACAGTATTTTCAAATGCTTTGGCAGTTTATTATGGATATTTCACTAGTTAGTTGTCTGCCTGATTCATTCTCAAATTTCACATTTCAGTGATTCATCTTATCTGTTATATTATATTATATTATATTATATTATGGTATGTTGTATATTATATTATACTATATTATGTTATATTAATATTCATTCAATTAATCCTTTTCAAAATCAGCAAATGTGAAATAATAGAGTTGATTTGTAACGTTCGCATTAATTAATACGGTATGTGATTAGTTGCAATCGTCATCCGATAATTTTGATGTAATTTGTTGAGTATGTGCGCATGTGCATTGAAGAACGAATGCATGAGTGAAGTGTTATTCATCGATTTGAAAATATCGATGTTTTGGGTGGATGCACGGAGGGTTGGATAGAGGAGGTGGATGAATGGATATTTGTTGGGTGTGGAACGAGGGTTGGTCGTATTC